GTGGCAGCTTTTCGCTCCAGTGCTAAGTAGTGAAGGAATAATTACTCAAAACATATAGTGTTTAGAGAGAAGAAGAATACCAAAGAGAAGAGGAATACCAAAGAAGGAGAAAAATGGCCTCCTCAGCTAAGGTCTTTCTTGTATTCATTACCAAGGATATGTGTAAAAAGTCAGGGAATAAATAAGGATATGAAAACTTAAGCAAGCATAACTCCTTGCAGATAAGGAGCGAGATGTGCAGATATCAGCTAATAATTCTTAGAACAAAGAACTTAGCTGAAGGACAAATGTCTGGGCCGTTTGCTGACTTCTTCAACGACATCCATACCATCAGCTGTTTTCAGCTGGCCTTGGCACACAGCAGACAAGCAGCTCCGGACAGGCATTTTCACCTGTCCCTTCATTCACTCCGCTCGCGTTCTTTCCATCCATCCATCCTTTCTTCTAGGCCCGCCCCCCTCACTGTGCCAGAATGCAGCAAAGAACAGAAACTTGAAGCAGCCCTAGAGGACAAACCCTGAGGTCCCACAGGTACCCTGGGCCCCTCCCTGATCCTTGTGCCCTCAAGGCCCTAGTATTCTGGGCCGGTGATGGGGAATGGCAGCCTTAAAGATCTCCGAAATGCTTTGGGGGTCCTTTTTCATTGTCTTGATGAAGACAATGACTTCTGGATTGCTTGCTTGCTTGCTTTTTGCAGTTTTATTTTATTTATTTATTTATTTTTATTTCAGCATATTATGGGGTACAAATGTTAAGGTTACGTATATTGCCCATGCCCCCCTCCCCCCTTGAGTCAGAGCTTCAAGCGTGACCATCCCCCAAACGTTGCACATCTCACTCATTGTGCTTGTATATACCCATCCCCTCCTCCCCCCTCCCACCCGCCCAACATCCGATAAATGTTATTCATATACTTCCACTTAGGTGTTGATCCGTTAATACCAATTGGCTGGTGAGTACACGTGGTGCTTGTTTTTCCATTCTTGAGCTACTTCATTTAGTAGAATGAGTCCCAGCTCTATCCAGGAAAATACAGGAGGTGCTATATCACCTTTCTTCTTGACATACTAATCTCCTTATCAAACATTTCCTTGGCCACTCCCTGGGTGTTCTCTCCTGCACACTTTCTTGTTTTTCACAACTTGGCCAGACTGAAAATTTTCCAACTCTTTCAGTTCTGCTTCCCTTTCAAATTACAAATTCCATCCTTAATTTGTTTCTCTCTTCTCACATTTTACTAGAATCAGTCAAGAAAAGCCATGCTGCATCCTCTACATTTTGCTTGGAGATTTTTTTTTCTGCCTAATATGTTATTTCATTGCTTTTAAGTTCTCTCTTCTATGAACACTAGTACACAAACACAATTCAGCCAAATTCTTGGCACTTTATAACAAAGATCACCTTTCCTCCACTTTCCAAAAACATATTTCTTATTTCCATCTAAGACCTCATCATGAACACCCTTTATTTTTCTGCCTCCACATTTTTGGTCCCGATATTTCTACTAATGTTCTGCTCACAGCCACTTAACCTCTAAAATAATTGATGCTCTCTACAGCTCTCCTCTTCTGGACTCTCACTAGAAAACCCTTTAGAGACCACTCACAGCAATACAACTCTTTTTCAGCACATACTTCCAAACTCTTTCAACCTCTACCCATTACTCGGTTCCAAAACTGGTTATATATTTTTAGGTATTTGTGACAGCAGCACCCCACTCATAGATACCAATTCTGTCTTAGTCTATTCCTACTGCTATAACAAAATACCTTAGACTGGGTAACTTATAAATAGTAGAAATTTATTTCTCGAAATTCTGGAGGCTGGGAAGTCCAAGATCAAGGCACCATCAGATTTGGTGTCTGGCAAGGGTTGCTCTCTGCCTGTTGCTTCATCCTCACATGATAGAAGTAGGAAAGGGCAAAAACAAAAAACTAACAGACTCCCTGAAGCCCTTCTGTAAGGGCTGATGCCATTCATGAGGGTGGAGTTCTCATGACATAATCACCTCCTAAAGCCCCCTTCTTAATACTATTGCATTGAGGATTCAGTTTCAACATGAATTTGGGGCGAGGGCGGACATAAACATTCAAAGATAGCAGGTACCTACAGAGCTTTTCTGTCAAGAGTAGATATTTTGAAACCTAAAAATAATTACCAAAACTGTATGGTTTTGGTAATGCAAAAGAATGAAGTTGGACCTCTTTCTATACACAAAAATTAACTCCAAATGTATTATAGACCTATATGGAAGAGCTAAAATTGTAAAACTCTTAGAAGAAAACATAGGAGTAAATCTTCATAACTTTGGGTTAGGCAGAGACTTCTTAGATATGACATTAAAAGTATAAGCTACAAAAGAAGGAAACAGATAAATTGAACTTCATCAAAAGTAAAAATTTTTGTACTTTAAAATGAACCACCAAGAAAATGAAAAGACAACTCAAGGAATAGGATAAAGTATTTGCAAACCCTACATATGATAAGGGTCTAGAATCCAAAATATAGAAAGAACTATTATTGATACAATTCAACAATAAAGACAAATAACTGAGTTCAAAAAAGGGGAAAAGGACTTGAATAGACATTTCTCCTAAGAAGATACACAAATGGCCAATAAGCACATGAAAAGATGTTCAACTTCATTAGCTGTTGGGGAAATCCAAATCAAAACCACAATGGAATACCACTTGATACCCACTCGGATGGCTGTAACCAAAAAGACAGATAATAAAAAGCTTTGGCAATGACGTGGAGAAATCAAAACCCTCACACATTGCTGGTGGGAATGTAAAATGGTGCAGCCACTTTGGAAAACAGGTAGTTTCTAAAAAAGTTAAACCTAGAGTTACCCCAAGACCCAGTAATTTCACTCCTAGGTATGGACCCAAGAGAAATAGAAACATATGTCCACACAAAAACATGTATACAAATATGTTCATAATAGCATTATTTGTAATAGCCAAAAAGGAAACAATGTCCATACAATCAAATATTATTCAGTAAAGTACTGATACGTGCTACAAAATGATAACCCTTGCAAATATTGTGTTGAATGAAATAAGCCAGACACAAAAGGCCACATATTGTATGATCCCATTTATATGAAGTGTCCAAAGCAGGAAAACCTACAGAGACATAAAGTCGGTTAGTGATGTGGGGAAATGAGAGGTGACTGCCAGCACGTACATGGTTTCTTTTTTGTGAGTGATGAAGATGTTTTAAAATTGATTGTGCTAATGGGTGTACAACTCTTGTGAACATACTAAAAACCATCGAATCATAGGCTTTCAATGGGTGAATTATAAGGTGTGTCAATCACATCTCAGTAAAGCTTTTAATTAAAAAACCATATAGATGGTGTCTGGCAACTGAACAAATTGTGCATTTGCTGCAACTTGTGTCTCTGAGGACAAACTATGTTCAATGCACATTTCAAGTGCTAAGTTTCCACCGGCCAAGACGACTGTTGCCAGTACACAATTCAGAACCAGTTTACGCCTCGACGTCATCGTAGCTCTTTGGTGGACCCCCCCCAGCCCCCTCCCCCAACAACCACCAGCATCTCTTGGACATCAGCCCCTTCGTAAGCCACTCAAAACCCACGGAATGCACATTGCATCATTAGATGGATTTTTAGAATCCCCAAGCTCTCCCTTTGATTTTATAGATGGGGAAACTGAGGCTCAGAAAGTGGTTAAGTATCGACTCCAAGAGCCACGTAGCATGATGTTTCTGGTGAAGCTGGAATTCCTACAGATTTCTCAGAAGGCTTCAGTGTCCCTCGCACTGGCCTTGCCAGCACGGCCGGAAACCGAGCTCCTCGCAGCCTCGGCGCTCAAGCCAGGCAGGAGCCGGAGGGGTCAGGAGGCCACTCCGTCTGGGGCAGGGAGGGGACAGCTGGGAAGAGAAGAGGGGCCAGCTTCCGAGAAGGCAGCGCAAGCCCGTTCCCGTAACAGCAGAGACGCAGGAGGGGCACAGCCCAAGGGATGAGGCTTGAGATGTGACCCTGACACTTGGTGTCACACGTGGGTGTGGTTGCTGTCAACACACAGTCATAGGTCCTGAGAACAGGCCCCCCAGTGACCCCACTGACCCCACCTCAGAACCAGTGCGGTTTTGCCCCCAGAAAGTAGCCCTGTGAGTCACTCCCTCCATGGAGACTTGTCCCCACCCTGACCTCAGGCAAGGCGAAGGGTGAAGGAGACGAGCCTTGTTCCCACCCGACCTCTCCCACCAGCACCTGCAACCCCAGGCCCGGGCTGGGGGCCAGCGTGGGGGCCGCTGCCTCTCCTCGAAAGTGGGGAGCAGGAAGCCCTGTCCGGAGCACATGTTCGGGGTCCGGAGCCTGGGCTGGGCTGGGCTGTGGGCTGGGCAGGAGGTGGGCAGCGTGACGGGAGCCTGCTCGGGGAGGAGGGACTGGTCACAGGCATTGACACTCACCGAGGGCCGGGCACAGGTCGAGCACTCTACACGTGTTGACTCACTCCTCTCTACAACAACTTCCGTGGTCTACATGAATATTACCCCCATTTTCCTATGAGAAAACTGGGGCACAGAGAGGCTAAAGGACCTTGCCAGGCCACACAGCTCATGCATAACCTGGCCCAAGCCCAGGCGGGCTGGCGCCCCGGCCCACCCTCCCAGCTCTTCTTCTGGCCCGCTTCTTACATCTCACACGCCAGTGCTGCGTGTCGGAAGCAGGGGGGTGCCCCTGCCGGCCTGTCGGTCCCCACGGAGCCGAACCTCCAGGTCCTCGGTTCCTGCACCCCTCTGTCTGTTGGCCCCGGCCCCGCCCCGCGGCACTGGCAGGCAGATGAGCCTCCGCCCGGCCAGCTGCTTGCTTCCTGTGGGCTGCCGGCAGGCCCCGGATGAGAGGTGATGACAGGGTGGGTGCAGGTTCGGGAGGGGGAGAGTTCGGGGGACCTGTGACCACAGCCGGGGGCAGGGCAGGAAGCAGAAATGACGTGACCGGGTGATGATCTATGAGGTGGGCCTGCCCGGGGGGCTGACGCCACCATTCGGAGCCCCAGTGGGAGGGAGAGGACATCTGAGCAGCAGCGTCTCCACTCCACGAAGACTCCAGGTAGGGAGGGAGCCGGGCCCCTGGGTGGGAGGGACTGCCGGTCACAGGGAGAGCCCGGAGGAGCAGGAAGACACCTGGGGCGCAGACTGTGCCCTGTCACTAACTCGCGGGGCAGCCTGTGGCGCCTCTGGGCCTCCGTGTGCTCGTGCACTGAAAGAAGAGGTTGGTGCACAGTGTCGGAGGCCCCTGCCAGTGCTCACAGCTAAAGCGTCTGGGAGAGAACACAATGAGGGCAGGGCAGAGATGGAGTCCCCTGGATCAAGGTTGGCCTCCCAGGAGGGAAGAGCGGGGGCACCTGAGGATCCCCCTTCTCCTGTTTACCCCCCTGGGCCAGCCAGGCCGCCTGGAATTCCACCCTTCCCGTCGCTCCTCTCTTAGGGCCCGGAGGTTGGGGTGGGGGAGCGCTACTGCTCTCCACACCCTCTTGTCTCAGGAGCTGCTGACCCCAGCAGGTGCCCAAGGAGAAAGGCCTGTTCAGGTGGGGACAGAGAGGAGATTCTCTATCATAGCAGGCCCAGGTGGGGCCCCAGGGCCACCTGGACATAAGGAAGAACCTTCTAGCCAAACATTGCCCAATAGCGGGCAAGAGGTAGGAAGGTCCCTGTCACTGCCGGCAGGACACCGAGCTCTGCAGGGAGTGTCAGAGAGGAGAGCAGCATGGGAAGGGGATCTGGACAGCAAACCTCACGCCCCACCACACACACAGAACTGGGGGTGTGGCCGTATCAGCAGCTTTTATTCCAGAATTTAGGCTGATGTTCTTCCCCAAGGGAAAATGGGGAGATCAGGGGAGATGCACACCCTCATTTCTTTTCCAAGTCTGTGAAGGGCTTTAGAGATCAAGATAGAGACCAAGACAGCATAAGAGACGTGGTGGGAGAAGGGTGGCCTGTCTGGGGCCAAACATGACACTTCTTCAGAGTCCAGGCTTCCCCAGGTCCCCAGGCCCTTCCCCAAACCTGCTGCAGCTACTCTGTCCCCTCTGTGGCCAGAAACCCCTCCCACCAGCTGCAGTTGTCTCCTGGGGACGGAACCATCAATCTATTTTTTATCTATTTTTATTTTTATTTAATTATTTATTTTTTGAGACAGTCTCGCTTTGTTGCCCAGGCTAGAGTGAGTGCCGTGGCGTCAGCCTAGCTCACAACAACCTCAAACTCCTCGGCTCAGGCGATCCTCCTGCCTCAGCCTCCCGAGTAGCTGGGACTACAGGCATGTGCCACCATGCCCGGCTGATTTTTTCTATATATATTAGTTGGCCAATTAATTTCTTTCTATTTATAGTAGAGACAGGGTCTCGCTCTTGCTCAGGCTGGTTTCGAACTCCTGACCTTGAGCAATCCGCCCACCTCGGCCTCCCAGAGTGCTAGGATTACAGGCGTGAGCCACAGTGCCTGGCCTGGAACCATCAATCTAGATCCACATTCAGCCTTACAGAGTAAAATTCCAGCAAGGGCTCCTCTCGGCTGTGTGACCCTGGGAAAGGCACTTCCCCTCTCTGGTTCTATTTGTACAACGGAGAGGGGGTGGACCAGGCCTGGCAGGGATATTCCAGCTCTGACATTCAGTGACTTAGGACAAATCTCAACCCCTCCCCTCCATGTGCCCTGATGATCCACAGTTGTGGGGCAGAGTGCAGCCCCCCTCCATTCCTCTGCCCCCAGCTTCCCAGAGCCCAAACGCCCCTGTCTCTGCAGCTCAATGGCGGCCCGCTTCCTCCTGGGCATCCTCCTGCTGCAGATGCCTCCGCCAGCCCCCGCCCCCTGCCACACGGCCGCACGCTCGGAGTGCAAGCGCAGCCACAAGTTCGTGCCCGGTTCGTGGCTGGCCGGGGAGGGTGTGGATGTGACCAGCCTCCGCCGCTCGGGCTCCTTCCCAGTGGACACACGCAGGTTCCTGCGGCCCGACGGCACCTGCACCCTCTGTGAAAACGCCCTAGAGCCAGGCGCACTCCAGCGCCTGCCCCTGGCAGTCACGGACTGGCATGCCCAGGGCTCTGGCTGCCAGCGCCGCGTGGCCAAAGCCAAAGCCAGCTCCACCGAAGCCGTGGCTCAGGAGGCGTCTGGCAACATCCGAAACGACTGGAAGGTCGGCCTGGACGTGACTCCCCACCCCACCAGCAACGCACATGTGTCCGTGGCCGGCGCACACTCCAAGGCAGCCAACTTCGCGGCCCAGAAGACCCACCAGGACCAGTACACCTTCAGCACTGACTCGGTGGAGTGTCGTTTCTACAGGTGAGAGCTGAGGGTAGGTGGCAGAGGGCTTGAAAACAGTGGGGAAACTCCAGGGGGTCTAGGAGCCCTGGAATGCAAGGGTGGGACTTGGAGGCTGCTTCTGCCAGGAAGAAACCACAGTCCTGGTTTTCAGACTTCAGGCGACTCAGCCCTGTGTCTTCCTCCCATCCATGAGGTCTCGAATCTGGAAGTGTGCAGTGAGAGACCAGGTAGAGGGGAAGCAAGTCCATGCCTGAGCACCCCAGCATGGTGCCATTTAGAACTAGTGAGCACCCCGCCTTCTCTTTCCTGGGCACTGCCAGCCTTCCATGGGGTCCTTCCTGAATGGGGACAAGGGCAGGAGACCTGGCCGGGTCCTGCCTTCTCATTGCTGTGCGACCTTGAGCACCTCGCATTTCCTCTCTGGGCCCCATTCATCCATTCAACCAATACTGACACCCGCCTTGTGTCAGGGCTGCTGAGCAACGACAGTCACCACCCGTGGCTGCCCGGGAGCAGGCGGCCTGGGACCTGGGTCCACACCTAAGAAGTGCATGACCTGCATGGCCCAACCCCAAGTCACCTGCTCTGATTTCTCAGATCTGGAGGCCACATGTTGTCCAGAATGAGGCAGGGCACCTCCTGCCCGTGTGGCCCAAATTGTCAGCAGCCCAGGCACACAGAGCTCAAAGCAGGGGGACAGACGGATGAAGGCCACATGACTAGGTTCCAAAGTTAAATGGAATACCATCTGTGTGATATCATTGCTTTTATAACAAGAAAAGAAAAAGAAAAGAAAAAACTTTATTTTATAAAGGAAAGAGAAAATACCTATACAGTATCTAGGTCACTGAGGAAGGGCAGAGTAGGCCTCCCTGACAGCTCCATGCCCCAGAGCGAGCTTTGGAGCCAGGCCCCTGGGTTCAAGTTTTATTAATGGTTTTGCCCACTTACGTGTGACCTTGAAGTTATTGCATGGGGAAAATACTACCCTCCACCGGGCCCAGCTGATGTTTTCCTCCCTCCTCACAGTTTCCACCTGGTGCACACGCCCCCACTGCACCCCGACTTCAAGAGGGCCCTCAGGGACCTGCCGCCCCACTTCAACGCCTCCACGGAGCCCAGCTACCTGAGGCTCATCTCCAACTACGGCACCCACTTCATCCGGGCCGTGGAGCTGGGCGGCCGCATCTCGGCCATCACCGCCCTGCGCACCTGCGAGCTGGCGCTGGACGGGCTCACGGCCAAGGAGGTGGAGGACTGCCTGAACGTCGAGGCCCAGGCCAGCATAGGCAGCCACGCCAGCACCTCGGCCGAATCCAAAGCCTGCGAGGAGAAGAAGAAGCGTCACAAGATCGAGGCCTCCTTCCACGAGACCTACAGGGAGCGCTTCTCCGAAGTGGTCGGCGGCCACCACGCCTCCCTGCACGACCTGCTGTTCGGGAGCCAGGCTGGGCCTGAGCAGTTCTCAGCCTGGGTGGCCTCGCTGGCCGGCAGCCCCGGCCTGGTGGACTACACCCTGGAGCCTCTGCATTTCCTCCTGGATAGCCGGGACCCGCGGCGGGGGGCGCTGAGGCTGGCCGTGAGCAAGTACCTGACCGACAGGGCCCGCTGGAGGGACTGCAACCGGCCGTGCCCCCCAGGGCAGCAGAAGAGCCCCCTCGACCCGTGCCAGTGCATGTGCCACAGCACGGCGGCCACTACCCGGAACTGCTGTCCACGGCAGAGGGGCCTGGCCCGGCTGGAAGTGACCTCCTTCCAAGCATGGAACCTGTGGGGAGACCTGGTCACTGCCACCGACGCCTACGTAAAGGTCTTCTACCGCGGCCGGGAGCTGAGGACGTACACCGTGTGGAACAATAACAACCCCAGCTGGACAACAAGACTGGACTTTGGGGAAGTGATCCTCGCCACAGGGGGGACCCTGAGGGTGCAGGTCTGGGATGCGGACAGTGGCTGGGACGATGACCTCCTTGGGACCTGTGACGAAACTCCAAAGTCTGGCTCACACGTGGTGAGATGCAACCTGAACCACGGCCAGCTGAAATTCCTCTACCATGCCAAGTGCTTGCCCCACTTGGCAGGGGGAACCTGCCTGGAGTACACCCCGCAAGGGCTTCTAGGCGAGCCCCCAGGAAACCGGAGTGGGGCCGTGTGGTGAGAACTTTGAGGGGACCCGTATGCTTGGACTGAACAGGTTCTCCCAGTGGGAGCCGGCCCTGTCTTCCTATTCCCATTAGACAGATGGAAAACTGAGGCTCAGCCTGTTTTTCACTGTGGTGGCTGAATGTAGCGACCAACCCTGATCCTCCCTGACCAGCCCGCCTTAGCGCTCCAGTGTACCCGAGTCCACAGCCCCTGCCTCCCAGCCGCGGCTTCGGCCAGGAGCTGGGCAGAGGCCCCCGGCCATTCCCACCAGGCTGCCCAGTGCCCTTCTCTTCAGAACCCCCCTTGAGTCCTTTCTGGGGAGCCCCTGTGGCCCCAGTTGCTCTGTCTGCTCTGTCTTCTCTGCCCATCGAGCTTTGACACTCAGACAGGTCAAAGGCTCTCCTGTCCTGTCTTACTGTGTCCCAGCTTGACAGAGGGCCAATAAACACGATGTGATGGTGCCCATGACGGTGTCAGTATGTCAGAGGAGAGGACGGGGCCACATGCATCCTAGAGATAAACTTCCACGTTAGCAACCCACAGAAAACAGGCAGGCAGGCAGGCAGGCAGGCAGGCAATGCAAAGAAACTGTTTTTCCACTTTTGTTAGAAATGGGGGACCGAAAATATTTTGCTTTCCACGTGACTCTCTGACCCAAGAACAGCGGCACAGACTTGGGGGTAAAGGGTGAGGCACATTCAGCCCCCCGCTGAAAGGCAAGAGGGAACCGCCAGGCACCCGTCTCACCTCCACGGGAGGCTGCGGCCCCGCCCAGACGAACATTCCATGCAGCAATGGGAGCCCAGGGCTGCCAGGTCTTCTCGTTTTTTAAAATAACCAGAAAGCCCACTTTGACTTCTAGCAGCGGCAGTTAATATTTCACTTTGTGAAAATAAACCTTTGTGGGCAAACTCAGTAACAGAGAACACGTGCGTGGGCCACAACTGGTCGAGGCTATCGGTTTTGAAAACTATGCTTTCAACAAAACCCATTCGCACAGGCTGAAAAGCTCTCCCCTCTCTCACAACTCAAGGAAAAGGGCATTGGTTCCAACAACGTGGTCTTTGTGGGCCCCCCTGCCTTGGATGCAGGAAGCCCCAGAGTCCTGGGTTCCAGCATGCAATGAAGCGGTCTTTGTTTCACGTGCCTGGGACACAGGCCCACAGAGCGGCGACAAGAGGCAGGGCAGCTTCCCAGACCTGGCTGGACTTGGCAGTGCAGGGCCAGGGTCAGAGGGCTCAGAGCAGCCGGCACGGCCCTCCCAACTCCCTTTGAAACTCCCCGTCGATGAAGCTCCTTGAGGCTTGCTCGGGACCCCTAGGCCCCAACGCCAAGCAGTGACACTACACTGACCCCAAATCCCCAGGGGGGAATGAGGGATTAGCAAGGTCTAGAAACCTGGTTGGAATCACTGTTCTTCCGTGTGTCCGTTCACAATCACATACTCCAACGCCAGCACGAGAGACATCTTGACACCGCTGGCTGCTGCACTGATTGGGAACGAACGTGGGGGTGGGCAGTGCCCTGCGGGTAAGGCAGGTCCACGGGGCAGGGCGCCCAGGCTCGGGGACAGCCCTGACCAAGGGTGGGAGTCTCGGTCAAGTGCCCGTGCAGTCACTGGCCTCCAGCAAGTCCCTCTGCTCCCGAGCCTCGGTTTCTCCAAAAGGACAGTCTCTGTTTTACTCCCTTCTCAGGACTGTTTTGAAGGGGGGGCATGAGCCTTTCTAGTGTGTGCAAAGGGACCCTAAAAGGTCATCTGGTTAACCCTAAAAGGTCATCTGGTTCTGCACATAGGGAAAGGGAGACCCAGGGGGAGGAAGGGATGTAATGTGGTCACAGAAGAAGTCAGTGGCAGAAAGAGCCCGGTCTCTGGGCATTCCTGGGCACTCCACTCGGAGCGCAGCTTTGGCGAGGCTGACGGGGCTGGGAGAGGAGGGCTTTTAAGAGAAAAAACTGAGCAGAAAGAGTCTGATCACTGTTGCTGACGGCAGCTACTATGGGGCCCTCAGCCCTAACCCAAGACCCAACGTGACATTTTCATTTCCACGCCACCTGGACATTGGGACGCTTATTTGGGACATTCCCCACTGTGCCAGACACTTTCCCTTTGCCCTCCAGGTCTTGTCCCCACCTGGCTCCGCTCCCCCCCCCGCACCCCCTCCTCAGCCGGGAATGGAAGGGGGTGCAGAGCCGTCTAAGCACCGTCGCTGGGCAGGAGACTGGAGAGGCAGAGTGCAGCGATCAGGGCACCTGCCCCCCTCCGTGTCCCTGTTGTCACTGCACCCCTCCAGGAGGCCTCTGCCTGTGGCCCCTGTAACTGCCCCTCCCCTCACTCTGCCAGACTAGGGACGGCAAAAGCCTGCCCTGCTCATCCCGAGTCTGCTGTCCCTCACGCTCCCTACAGCCCTTCGGTCTGTGAATAGCCCCGCTCTGGTGATTGTATTTGAGTATTCCTACGGGGCCCTGAGTGACGCGCCACCTTAGGAGTGCTGGGGGGAGCAGAGCCCACCCACCCACAGAAGCTGAGAATGTCCCATTCTGGCTTCCCCAACCTCCCCTGCACCTAGGAGAAGACGTGGGACTGGGGCTACCAGTCAGATGCACCTGCCCAGGGATGGGGCTCCTTCAGAAGCCAGCACTGAGACCAGGGTTCTAGTGCAGGTAATTTACATAGGAGGCGACCCCAGGAAGCACCAGCAGGGGGTTGGGGATGGGAGCCAGGAAGGGAAGGTGGTCTACTACAGGTGTATTATCACAGAAGTCATCACCATGGGCCACAGGAACTGAGCCCGCTGGGAGTGCCGGGAGCCCATGGAGAACACGCACCTTGGAGCTAGCCCAGCCGAGGGAACTGGGGGATTGATACTCCAGGTCCCTTCGGCCATTGATTAAGGGCTCCTGAAGGGGGACGCTAATATCCCCTCACTCCCCGTCCACCAAAGGGGCAGGCAGAGCAGAGTCCAGCAACTGGAGAAAACCCTCCTGGGAAGAGGGGCAGAGGCTGAGAGTCCAAGTGCTGGGAGGTGTGCCAGGATGGCGTCCCCAAGTGGGATGTGGGCACACTAATGCCCTGGGGAACCTGAGCTGTCGTCGCAGGAGGGAGTTCTGGGGACAGTGGCCGCAGGGCTGCCGGCGGGAGTGTCCACGACTTACTGGGTCAGAGGAGCGAGGAGGGGCCCCCAGGCAGTACCCTCACTGGGCCAGTTCCCGGCAGGATTTGGGGCCACTGTTCCAGGATGCACAGCCTGCCCCGCCATCCTGGTGACTCTGCGAGATACCTGGTCCATAAACTCTTTTTATCCTTTTTTTTCCATCAAGACTGGGCTTCAGGCCGGGCGCGGTGGCTCACGCCTGTAATCCTAGCTCTCTGGGAGGCCGAGGCGGGTGGATTGTTGGAGCTCAGAAGTTCAAGACCAGCCTGAGCAAGAGCGAGACCCCGTCTCTACTAAAAATAAAAAAAAATAAAAAAAGTTAATTGGCCAACTGAAAATGGAAAAAAAAAAAAAAAAAAAAAAGACTGGGCTTCTGTTGCCGGCAGCTAAAATTCCTGGCTGACGCGACACCATCCCATCCTCTCCCTCCTGCGTCAACACCCCTGCCCTTGCCTACCACCCTACGACCCCGCCCCGATGGGCCCTGGTCCCTAGAACCTCCACACCACGTCGCCAGCACCTGCCTGCTCTCCCTCCCCAGGGCACGGATCTCGGAAGGGAGGGACCACGCACAGGGTCCACAGATTGGTACTGAGCACCTTCTGCGGGCCACGTCCTGCCAGGGGCTCCGCTGAGTTGCCGTTCTCTCATTTTCTCACACACACACACACACACACACACACACACGCGCGTGCACACACACACGCACGCACACATGCACACACGCACATGCACACACACACGGTCCCAGGAGGCTCTTCCAAGACTTGGGGCAGGCATTGACGGCAGCCTGGCTTCTGATTTTTAAGCGGTTGCCACGGCACCTTCACCTCCCTATACACACACCTTCAGGTCTCGGGCTGCATCGGTGTCCCTGGTGAGCGTCAACAAGCTGGGACAGTGTGTCCAGCGTCCCTGTCCCTGGCGTGTTTGAACAGGGGACCACCTGCTGGAGAGGGCAGGGAAGGGAGGGGAGAGCCCGCCCTGGGGCTGCTGCATCGTAGAGGGCCGAGGTTCCTCGTGCTCCCCAGTCACTCCAGTCCCCTGCAGCTGTCGCCAAGCCATTCCACACGCTGACAGCCACCCCTTCCCACAACCACAGCCTCTGCAGCCCGGCTGCCTGCTTGGGTCTCTGTCTGTGGCCCCCTCACCGGTCTGCAGGCTCCTGCACGCCCCCTAGCGGCCTCCACTCCACAGCACCCTGCCGGTAGCCCCTGAGGCCGGGCTCCCTCTCTGCCTACAGCCTGCGCCCAGGCCCTCTCCACCCGCCCCATCGGGAGGCCAGAGTGCCGGAGAATAGTGTCTTTGCATCACACGGTCTCGAAACACCTGCAGCCAGTGACTGACGAGGGCTGGTGTGCGAATACCCAGCTACCAGCCCGTCTGGGGTAACCCAGGGACATGTCCCAGCCTGCCCAGGGTTCTCCAGCTAGAGCCAGCTCCACTTGCCCACGGTGGCCACCTGCGTGACCACACGCTTTCCTGGCTGTCTCCCTTTCCTGTCTCACTTCCCCACTCCCTGCAGGTATTTTCTGGAATCATCTCCCAGACACCACCCACCCTCGGATCCCTATCTCAGGGTCTGCCTCTGAGGAAACCGGCTGAGACACATCTCACCACGTCATGGCCTCACTTACATTGGTTTCTTGTGGTTTTGGGGGTAGGGTACAAAGCCCTGCACATGGCCCCCAGGCCCTCCTGCCGCCCCCCTCCCTCTGCCCCCACTCACTACGCCCTGCCTCCATGCACCTCCGCGTTCCACGCTCTTTCTGAACCTTCATACAGGCTGCCTCCTCTTTCTGGAACTTTTGTCCTCCACCCTAAGACCTCCTCAATCAGACTTGAGCTTCAAAGGTGACTTCCTCTAGGAAGCCTTCCCTGACTGCCAGGGAAGGTCATGCCCCTACCCTGCTCCCATCCCCAGTATTTCCCCACCACAGTTCCATGAGGCCAGTGGCTTTTTCTATCTTATTCGTGGTCTAATCGACTAATCCAGCACCCAGCATAAGTTTGATGAATAAAAAATGTTGGATGGATGATTATATGGATGAATGAGTGAATGAATGAACCCCACCAAGGAATCTTCTAGCCTCTGCTTGAACCCTCCCAGAGACAGAGAGTTCATCACCTCCTAAGGTAGCTGGTCTGCATTTGGAAGGTTCTAACCAGGAGCCCTCATATGACATGGAAACCCACCTCCTGATAACATGCAGCCCTGGTCATGTTACAAGGCGAGTTCACACATTTGAATCTCCGGCCCTGTCTCCAGTTTTGCTGGGCAGAAGGACCACCGTGCTGGCTGCAGCCCGTGCAGCAGCCTGCCCTCTCTCCTTCCATGAGGGAGTCGCAGAAGGGCCACACTCTACCCAGGGGGCCACCCCTCTTCCCTGCTGCTCACAGCAGAAATGAGAGCCTCTCAGGTGGCTGGTGCTTGACTGTTTGCTCCTCAGTGGACCCCGTCACCAGCTGGAGTCATTTCCAGCTGGGGCAGCTCTTTCTCTGGGCAGGGGCCCACTTGGCCTGGGCACGTTCTGGCCCCAGAGGGGTGAGGTCCACCACCTTAGCCTGCACCTAGGATCCCTCCCCCTGCCCTCCACAGCCTGGCGAGGTCCCTTCCAGCACGACCTGCACAGTCCCAATGGGAGGGCGTGGCTGGCGCAGCTGAGACCAAGATCCCAGGTGAGATCCCCATGGGGTGGTTAGAGTTAGCACTGCACAGGAAGAGATAACCCTGTCACACAGCCAAAGGCTGCCATCCAACCTGAGCCACAAATGACGAAGACCCCAGCCACACATTCACCCCAGACCCGGCCATGGAGACCAGTCCTGTGAGTCCTGACTGTGGT